GATATCAAAACCAGAAAGAGACCCAACCAAGAAAGAGAACTCCAGACCAATCTCTCTAATGAACATAGAGGTAAAGATACTCAATAAAATATTAGGAAACAGAATGAAACAAATCATCAAGAAAATTATACACCATCACCAACTGAGATTCATCCCAGGAATGCAAGGATGGTTCAATATACACAAATCAATGTAATACACTACATCAACAGAGCCAAAATCAAAAACCCCATGATGATCTCAACAGATGCAGAAAAAGCTTTTGACAAAATCTAACACTCATTTATGATAAAAATCCTACAGAAAATAGGAATAGATAGTCTTTACCTCAATGTGATCAAAGCCATCTATTGCAAATGAACAGCCAACATCATACTAAATAGACAAAAACTGAAAGCTTTCACTTTAAAGTCAGGGACAAGACAAGGATGTCCATTGTCACCACTCCTATTCAACATAGTTCTGGAAGCATTAGCCAGAGTGATTGGAAAAGACAGAAAAAATAAATAAATATAGGAAAGGAAGAAGTGAAATTATCATTATTTGCAGATGACATGATACTCTACATGGAAGACCCCAAAAAGTCCACCAAAAGACTACTTGGATTAATGAACAAATCCATTAGTGTAGCTGGATGCAAAATGAACACTAAAAAATCAATAGCATTCCTATATACAAACAACAAACACACAGAGAGAGAAATTAAGGAAATCATACATTTCACAATAGCATCCAAAAAATTGAAATATGTAGGAATCAATCTAACAAAAGAAGTAAAAGATCTATTCAATGAAAACTACAGTACTCTGAAAAAAAGAGATTGAAGAGGATTCTAGAAAATGGAAAGATATTCCTTGGTCATGGATAGGAAGAATGATCATTGTGAAAATGGCCATACTCCCAAAATTGCTGTATATATTCAATGTAATTCCAACTAAAATACCACTAGTATATCTCATGGATCTAGAGAAAACATTCCTAAAATTCTGGAACCAGAAGAGACCCAGAACAGCAAAAGCAATCCTAAGTAACAAAGGCAAAGCTGGTGGAATCACAACCCCTGATTTGAAATTATACTAAAATTATACTAAATTATACTGTTATAAAATCAGCATGATATTGGCAAAAAAACTGACCCGAGGATCAATGGAACAGACTGGAAGATGCAGTCACAATCACAAACACACACTCAGTCACCTTATCTTTGACAAAGGGGCCAAACAATTCACTGGAAGAAACATAGCCTCTTTAATAAATGGTGCTGGAAAAACTGGCTCGACACATGCCAAAGACTGAAACTAGACCCATGTCTATCAGCATGCACCAAATTAAAGTCAAAATGGATTAAAGATCTAAATATTAAAACAGAAACATTTAATCTACTGGAAGAGAAAGTAGGTAGAAATCTTGAAGACATAGGGGGAGGCAGAGAATTTATAAACAAAAACCAAACTGCATGGGAAATACTTCAATGAATCAACAACCAGGATCTCATCTTATTGAAGAATCTTTGAACATATAGAGAAATCACCAACAGAGTAAAAAGAAAACTCACAAACTGGGAAAAAGATTTAGCCAACTGCTCCTCAGACAAAGGACTTCTATCTCAAACATATAAAGAATAAAAAAAGCTCACTCCCTCAAATTCAAAGACTTAACACAACAATGGACATCTAAGATAAATACACACTTCAATACATACTTATCAGATAAAAAACATACAAATGGTAAATAAATACATGAAAAACTGCTCAACATCATTAGTCATTCAAGAAATGCAAATTTAAACAACAATGAGATTCTATTTTACTCCAGAAAGACTGGTTATCATCAAGAAATCAATCAACAACAAATGCTGGAGGGGTTGAGGGGACAAAGGAGCCTTTCTCCATTGGTGGGAGTGTAGACTGGTGCAACCACTGTGGAGATCAGTCTGGAGATTCCTCAGTAAAATAGAATTAGAGGTCCCATTCAACCCAGCTATTCCTCTTCTGGGTATTTTTCCAGAAGAACTAAAAACATCATACCATAATGATATATATGCACCCGTATTTATAGCAGTGCAATTTGTAATAGCTAAATCATGAAAATAACCCAAATGCCCATCAACTGAGGAATGGATAAAAAAGCTGTGGTATTTTTATATAATGGAATATTATTCAGCTATAAAGAAAGATAACCTGGAGGCTTTTATAGATGAATGTTTGCCACTAGAGACCATACTCATAAGTGAAATAAATAAGTCTCACATGTGTAAAAATCATATTGTCTCCCTTATATAAGAAGCTGAAGAAGTAAATGAAATCTAAAAGGTACAATCGATAGTGAGAAGGAGAAAAAAACGGCTCAAAAGGAAAGAATGCCTGAGATGAGCAAAAGAAGAAAATAAAGAAAAGGAAAAATATGTGCATATATATACACATAGGATGGCCAGGATAATTGTACTATTAATTTCTATTGCTTTCTTGAAAGGAACAGTTGATATTTAATTGTTTGATCATTCTTGCATGTCTGTCTTTGTTTATCTGAGTGAGCAATATGAAATAACAGTATGTAATACAGCAACCATTGTTAATTTCTTTTCACCTTGTCTGAAATTCTGTATTGTTTTTATTGTTTTTATATTGATTAATTTCTGTCTGTGTGTTTGTTAATATGTTTTGGTTCTTTAATCTCTAAAATTAAAATTTTAAAAATGTACGTGTATTTCTTTAATTGTGCTGTTGTGGCCCTAATTTCCCAAATCTATTCAAAATGTTTATTTTTGATGGTAATTTTGACTTTAGGGAAGAGCCAGAAGTTCCGCCTTCCCAGATCTGCTGAATAAGGGGGATGAGGACACACTGTAATATGTTTCATGAGCCTGTCTTTCCATTGGATGGCACTCAGAAGCAGCATTCTGCACATTTTTATCACATCTCATAAGAATATGAAAGAGGACTTTCAGAACTGCTTCAGAAAGTGGCAGCAGTGATGAGATGTGTTCAAAGAGAGGAGGAGTATTTTGAGGGGGATAAATGGTGATGGGTCTTTTATTGCAATAAACTTTTTCATTTAAACATTTGTTGCATGTTTTGATAGCTCCTTTATAGAGACAGAAATGTATGTGTTTCTATAATTAGAATTGCAAACAAATTTGCAAAGTTTTGAAAGTAGTGTAAGTGTTTAGGAAAGTAGTATAAATTTTATAAGGGTAATTTAGTCTGACAGCTGGCCTATTGGTTTCACTTCTTAAACTCATCCTTTAAAAATATCTGTATTTTATATCTTTAAAAAATTTAATGCCTAGTACTTATAGTACATCTACTGATAAATCAAAATAAGATGATTAACCTATGACTCTTAGTTATTACAAGAAAGATTAAAAATTTTATTTTGGGAAAGCAGCAATAATTATAAAAATCTTTTTATGCCTTTTGGAATTTTAGAAAATATTGATTCTTGAATCAAAAGGCAGTATAGCTAACGATGTATTGGAGATTTTCTGATTTTCCAGAGTGTCAGGGACCTGGCTAAGATCGCCAACTGCCTGTATGGGTGGTACAGCGAAAGGATGAGGTAAGAAACAGAGATAAATTTAGTAATGCATGAAGCTGGGCTGGAAGATCAGTGTCTCAGGATGAGCCGATTCAAAGACACTCCAAGACAGCCACTATTTATTGGTTGTATACAATGATAGAAGGTGCTAGCGAAGATTCAAGGTGATTCAAGGTCCTCTCAGAGGTCAGTGACTCAGCCAGCAATAGATAGTCTTAGGATGACTCAAGAGGGGTGAGGTGATTTTATGCTAAGAAGAATCTTGCTCTGGAGTGTTTTTTAATCTTAGTATCTTTAGTTTTTAGTCTTAGTGCGTGGGAGAGGATGGCCCATCCCTAAAGAGTTCATGGGAAATCTCAAAAGGGTGATAACGATAATCCCAACCTCCATTTATCTCTTACAGAAGTATGCAAAATTAGTCATTGTGAATTTGTTGTCCCCAACACCAGAAAAGGGAGTTTATTATTGACTCTATTAGTTTTCCAATCATTGATAAACATGGGTACACTTGCTTATATCAAAGCCACATTACATCCACCCTTACAATATTTAGCAGATGATGAGTTCAACCTGATACATAAACCTGCATATAAGATACTGACACTTTTGATGTTGTGATAAAAAAATCAAGTTAGGAGCTAAGGAGCTGGCTGAGACAATAGAAATAATATTTTTACATGCTTCAAATTTTATTATACTAAATTATTAAAAAAGAGAATTAAACAAGAATTAGGTACCAAGGGCATGTAATGGGGTGCAGGAGAGGCACCAGAACAGGGAAGCAGGAATTAGGGGCCAGATCATTTAGGTATAAATCTGGCTAAACCTTAAGGAAGTGGATTGGGAAAGAACTATGTGTTAAATTTTTTTAGTGGGTGGAGATATTAGCTCTAGTGTGTGTTACCTCAGAGTACAGGAGGGGCTAAGTGGTAACTCATTCCTCAACTGAAGTCTTAGTTTCAGTTCTAAAATTGTATAACGGTGTAAGTCTGGTATGATGTTAGCTGTTTTCCCCCACTTATTGAAACTTTAAATAACACTAGGAAATGGATTTTATCCATTACAAGTAAGATAACTCTGGCTTAGAAAGAGTAAATAATCTATCTAACTTACTTACATAGCTGGGGGAATTGTAGAGTTTGTGATCTTGTCTCTCTTTTCCCAATGTCTGTGTGTGATTGTTTCCCACAATTTCAACTCAGGCAATCAGAAACAGTCAGATACCACCAAGGATAAGATTTTAATAGAATTCATTGTGGTTTTAATATCTGGATCAGAGAATGCTGTAAGATGAATTTATATCACGCTATAGTTTTCAGGAATTCTAGCTGAGAATAGAGGAAGCTAAGAATAAAAATCTCTCTCTCTAATCATTATTTCTCCAAATACAAGTTCTCATTGAACCACCTGTGAATTCATTTTTGTACCTGTTACACATCAATCTGAATTTCCCATTGTTATTATTAAATAGGTTTTTGGTTCAGCATATATTTTACAGCAGCTTTTACATCCTTATTCCTCAAGCTATAGATGATAGGATTCAGCATGGGGGTCACTACCCCATAAAATAAAGAAATCATCTTGTCCAAAGTTTGAAACTTGTCCTCCCCATTCAGGTCTTGGGTCTTGGGTTTTGCATACATAAAGAAAATGGTGCCATAAAATATAACCACCACAGTCAGATGAGCTGAGCAGGTTGAAAAGGCCTTGTGTCTTCCTGTGGCTGAGTTCATATGCAAGATGGTGTAGAGAATAAATATATAGGAGAAAAAAATGACCAGAAGAGGAAAAACCAGGAAAGCTATATTTGATATCATCATGGTAATAATATTGAGGGATATGTCAGCACAAGCTAGTTTGAGGACAGCCAAGATCTCACATGTAAAATGATTGATAATATTATTTCCACAGAAGGGCAACTGCATGGCAAGAGATGTTTGCACAATTGAATTGACTCCACCAGAGAACTATGACACACAAGCCATAAGTATATATACACCTTTGCTCATGATGACGGGGTACCTCAGAGGGTTGCAGATGGCCACATAGCGATCAAAAGCCATCATGCCAAGGAGCAAACATTCTGTTGACCCCATTGCAAATCCAAGGAACATCTGCGCTGCACATCCAGAAAAAGAAATGTTTCTTCTCTTTGAGATTAAGCTCACCAGCGTTGATGGAACAGAGGTAGATGTATAGCAAATATCAAGGAAAGAGAGGTTCCCCAGAAAGAAGTACATGGGAGTGTGAAGACGGGAATCAAAGACGCTTGCTATGATCAGAACACCATTGCCAATTAGAATCACTAGGTACGTGATTAGAATCACAGCAAAGTAAATGATCTCAGTCCTTGGATATCCTAAAAGACCCAGAAGAAGAAATTCGGACACAAAGGTCTGGTTAATCATACCCATGATACACACTTCTAGCATGTCAAAAGAAGACCTGACAAAATTATCTACTGCCAAGAAACAGATAGTACAAATTACTTGAACAATCTTTTTAGAATGTATTCAGAGTTCTTGCTTGAAGTTCTGATACTTATTAAATGGTATGCATTTCTAATGTACAATGAAATTGGAAATACTTTGGCCCCATCGCAAGATATGAATATTTGCCCATATTCAGACACAGACAAAAATAACATCTCATGTTGTTGAGGACACATGCTCAGTTAATGTTTATAGAGTCCCTGGTTAATTACCAACTTTATGGCTACCTTCTTCATTCTATATGCCCCAGCAATGAGCAATGGAAATACTATTCAAAAAGGAATGGTATTTTGATTCAATGATTGACAAAGTCATTGAAATGTCACAACATCTTTAAAAACTGAATTTCTTTTCAAGCCTGACACTCTATACCTTATGTTGGATATTTTATCACTATTTAATCATAGTAAATTGATAGCATAAACTAAAATTTAGCATCTGATTAAAGGCACAGTCAGTTGTTGACCCCATATTTCAGCTCACTTTTATCTTGTAGGGTCATTCCTATGACAAGATCATTGCACAGACAGGCTCTACATCATTGTGATGGAGGACATTACGTTGGCTCTACTATTTTATTCTGCAGCTTCAGATTATATCCTCATAATTTCATTTAAGGCAACCTAAAAATAGTACTGATGTTCAAATATTTTACATAAGTATGTATATATAATTGTATATTCCACTGTATGTGTATACTCTCTATATTATCTCCATTTTTCCAAATATGAAAGATGAAACTTGACCAAGATAAAGCAGGTAGTAAATAGTAAAGTTGAGCTTAAAGCTAAGATCTTTGACATCCAGTTCAGTTAATGAGTTTGCTGATTTTCACGTGCATATAAGTACCTGGGGATATTGAAAATCTTCAAATCTGCTTTCAGTGTCCAGCACAGGTCCTGAGATCTGAATTTCTCCAAAGTGCCTGAGATGTTTGTGCAATTGGTCCCCAAAGCACTTCAGTAGCAGACTTTAATATACACTGAGTTGGCAGATTATCTAGATGTTTCTGGTTCAGATCAATTTCCTGTTGCTTTATTATATGTATTGCCATCACCATCAGCAAAAGTTCAAGACCATAATTCTTTTGTGTTTTACAGAAAACTCCAGATTGATGCCATACTGCTAAATATTGAAGGACACATTTTAAAAAACAGAATAAATTTACAAAAACTACTATAATAATTTTAGACCATCATTTGAAACCAGTCATATTCTGAGCATAGTAAGGATAAATTTTTAAAAATGGGAAGTGTTGCCATTGTAAACTGAGAAAATAGGAACTATATATGGAAATCTATCATAGACATATTTACATACTGTAATATGAGTTATAATTATAAATTTTCCAAGAAGGAATGTGTTTAGGTGAAATGAATCACACAAGGGAGACTTCAAGAGCAGTTTCAAACTTATGTTGGCTCCAGAAGCATGGAAAGGATAAGGTGAGTTTGGAAGAGAAGAAGGCAATTGAGCAAGGAAGCCAAATGTGAAAAGCTGAGCGCTAATTAGAGAATTCAGCACACCATTTTGGACAAGAGTATTTGTGCAAAAATAGCAGCAAGCACATCTGAGAAGAAAAGTGAATCAAGCATGTAGAAAGCATCTGACATTGGGGGAAAAAATGTTTGACACTTCTTTTAGCGATGGAGGGGTCCATCATTAGAAAGTAAAGAACACTGGTGAATGCTTAGCCTAAGACTGACTTTAACATCTATATGAGTTTGACTTCACGTAATATAAGATGAGAGTTTTGAACAGAAATGTAACTAAAGAAATTAAGACATTTAGATTATTGAGATTTTTATAATTGGTGACTAGATATGAAAACTACTCTTTCCATAGTCACCATGAGTATATTCATATTGTGTGCCAGTTACCTGGGAAATTTACTAAAGCAAACATTAGCTTTAATCAAAAATCCAATTTAATTAGAATATTCTCTGTGCAGGGAAGCATTTAGTAAAAAATAGACAATAGAAATATTTAAATTTTGAAGAGAGACAAATAAGGGAGTATACAATCTTGAGCTTAAGGAAGAGAATGTTAATTTTTACTTATTCAGCCTAAGAATAGAAGCTCAGGGAAAAGAGAGGGGAGAAGAAGGGAGGAGAAGAGAGGAGATGAAAGGGAGAGGGGAGAGGAGCTGAGGAGGGAGATGAGGAGGGAGAGGAGAGGAGAAGGAAAACATCTTCATTTAAGTTATCCAATTTTATTGCAGCACTCAGTGTCCATATTTGTGCTGGAAATAGCTCACTAGGCCAAGGTCACATGGGCAATAACAGAAGAGGCAAGATCCAAAGCCAGTTCTCTTTACATTACTACTTTGTTTGACTGATACCACTAAAATAAATAGAAATCATATCTCAACAACAGAATGCTCAGTGATAACCATATAGAATATAGGATCGTGAAGATAATTTGACAGTACTCATGCAAAAGTGCCCAGCAACAGGGCAGTGATCTTACACTTGTCCCACAATACTTCTTATTAAAAATCCAAATTCTCCCCAAATGAGGTTTAGAAATTGATCATGGAGTACATTGGGTGGAGAGGATGAGCACGTTGATTAGTCGAGTTCCAAAAGTATAAGGAAGGAGACAGCATAACATTGACTTACCAGGACACATGGCAATACTCTAGGTCAGGCTCTGCTAGAATCCAGGCCTGGGGAGCCTTCTATCTTCACATTCTGTATAAATGCTGTGACAGTGCACCTTAGGCAGCCTGAACTGCCTCTCCTGCCACTTGCTGTAGGACTTATCCTCCCAGGTGCTAACTGTTCCATCAGTTCGAGTCCACCTTGAGCCAGGACTTTGATTTTCTGCTGCTCCCACTTTAAATTGGTTATCTTGTCTACTGAGAGGTAATAAAAACCATGGGAACAGTTTGAGTCTCTTGCTCATCCATCCCTCTACACCTAAATCTAACACAGCTCTTAAACAATTTCCCTGTGTAATATTGGTCAGTGAATGTTGAGGACTATTTAATATACTCAAATTATTCACTTACAGGTTTACTTTTTAATCTTCCAGTCAGTAGTAACATGCTTTCATCTTATGTGGATAAGCAGCAGTTTATGCATTGCAAGTACACAGAATTCACCCGATTGTCACTAGGATACGTGTGACATCTGGTTATCATAAAGGAAAAATACCTCTGACTAGAATCAGTCTTCAGCTTCAACGCCTTTGCTGGTGATTAGATAGCCTCAGTTTTCTCATTTGCAAAATAGTAATAAAAATAGCTATCTTAATTTTTTCTTATGGATATAGTAAGGAAATAATGAGATAGCATATGGAAACTGTTTTAGTCATTAGAGATACATAAATAACAATAAAGTAATAATTTCAGGTGTATTTGGTGAAAATAAATTGGCAACTACATTTCTTCAGGTTATTTGTATTACAAGTACATATTGACTAACAGCTTTAGTTACAGATTAGGTTTAATTGAGCTTAATTATGATACAGTTTTCAGTATCCAGGACTTACCTTTATAATGATAAACTATTTCTACTTCCTATCAGAAGCAGATACTTTCTTTGCAATATTTATCTCAGCTAATTAAACTCAGCTTCAAGAAATGTTGCCCAATTCCACAGATATAGAAGGGTAAATATTTTTGTACAACAGTCATTATAATTGTTCCCTAATTCCCAAAGCAATTTAAAGTTGGAGGAAGAGAGCTACGGCAGGGAGAAACTTCTGATGTGACAAGTACAATGTGGCAGAGACTCAGCAGTGGTGTGACAGTACCTTGTAGTTGTATTACAGTTCCAAAAGGGAACACCATTCTCCTGCTTATGTAACCTTTGAAAATGGAGCTGAATGTTCACCAAACAATGAAATGTGATAGATTTTTTTTGTTTAAACTTATCTACTAAAGCAAAGTTAATTAAAAGAGTTAAATAATTCAAATAATAATTACCAAAATGAAATGCTATAATCAAAGATGATCCAGATATTGTGAATGAAATGAAAGACATTCACTGTGAATTAAATATCATTTAATTTTTAGCTGATTTTCTCTTCATTCTTGTTGATAAATTAATTTCAATGAGGATGCCATCACCAACATTTTTGCAATAAAAAGAAATGCTATGCATAATACAATACATAAACTCATGGGACAATAATAAATCAATATATTAAAGCCACAAATAGTTCATAATGAATTAAGGGCATAAAATTCAGAGGTAAATAGCACATGATAGAATTAAAATGTCTATTAAGTTAGAGTGTAGATTTATTGAGGTTCACTGTAAAATATTTCGAGTCTAAGAAATAACCATTTGCTTAAGAAAGTAGTAACAATATTTTTCTTATAATTATTAGCATATAAGAAATGAACAAAATAATAAGTTTCTTTGTGATGGTTTCACATGTACATATAATGTACCTAGATTGTGTCTACCCTCCCTGTTACCCTCTCTTACCTTAGCTCCCTTGTTCCCCTGCTTCTTCCCTAATTGTTCCCCTCTCTGTTCATGTCATCTTTTTTTATAGGTTTCACATCTTAAAGAAAACATGTGACACTTTTCTTTCTGAGTGTGGTTTATTTTAACACTATGATGTCTAGTTTTATTTTCTTGCAAATGACATGATTTATTTCTTCTTTGTAACTGAAATTATATATATTATATATATACATCTATGTATTATATATACATATCATATTTACATGTTATATACATATAGACATATCATGTTATACGTACAAATCACATTTACTTTATTCATTTATTCACTAATGGGCATGTAGGCTGGTTCGTCAACTTGGATATTAGGAAAAGTGCTGTGATAAACATGGCTTACAAGTATCTGTATTGCATTCTGACTTTGATTCTTTGTTATGGTACACTTGAAAGTGGTATACCTGGATCATGTAGTAGTTCTATTTACAGTTTGGTAGATCATCCATACTGATTTCCATAGAGGCTATACTAATTTACATTCCCACTAGCAGCATACAACTGTTCCTTTCCTCAGCATACTCA